AGGTCATAATCAACACCTTGAATTGGGCCCGGGCTTCAATGGGAAGCCAGTGAAGCTGACGGAGGACTGGAGTCATGTGAGCATAACGCCCCGTCAGCAACCTGGCAGCTCTGTTTTGCACCAATTGAAGTGTTCGGACCGTCTTCAGGGGAAGCCCCACGTAAAGCACGTTACAGAAGTCTAGGCGGGAAGTCACCAGCGCGTGTGTCACCGTCGCCAGGCAGTCGTACTCCAGGTGGGGGCGCAGCTGATTAATCAGCCGAAGCTGAAGGAAGGCGCTCCTCGCCACCGCTGTCACCTGAGCTTCCAAAGAAAGCTCCGGGTCGAGGAGTACTCTTAAGCTGTGGACCTTATCCCTAAGAGGGAGTGTTGCACCATTCAGGACCAGGTCAAATCCATCCTCTCCGAAGCCCGATCCGCCAACCAACAGGACCTCCGTTGGTACCAGGATCCGGGTACCAGTCCTCACTCAGCCATGAGGCACACTGAATGGCTTAGGCAAACCTACCTCACAGGGTTGTTGTTGTTGGAAGGATCACATGGAGAGAAGACTCCTGCAAGCTGCCTAGGGTTCCTTGCAAGAGGAAGAAAGGTGGGTATAAATGTAATCTTCATTGTGGCAACTACCTGGGGGAGCAAGGCCAGGTGTGGTGAAGAAAACCGCAGCTGGTTGTTGCCCAGGCAGAGTCTGACTATGAAGCTTGCTGAGGTCCCCAGATTTTGGAGGGCCTGCGGGGGGCTGAGGGTGGGGGGCAATTCGTCCGACTCCCCCCTGCCTCTGGACTGTATCCCCCCTGCAAGTCAAATTCTGCACACCAGCAATTTAGGATTGCCAGCCAGGAGCTATTTTTACTGCTTCCCGGAATGCAAACCCTCACCCAAATCTTGGACAGCAAAAAAGTGGGTGGGGAGGAGGCAAAAGCGATGATCAAATGCTCAGGAGGCCACCAGCCCTGCTAGCCGGGTCACAAGGCTTAGGCCATGCTGATGCATAAGCCTTCTTATAAAATACTTTCCACTATAGACCTTTATTTATTCTTCCTGGTACATACCCACAGGTGTTTGAGTCTGAATTACAGGCCTTACATCAACACATGGCTGTAGCAAGAATACTCTCTCCTCGGGGCAAAGAACAATCTTGATTTTCTCCCTGCATGTTGTTTAAAATCTTTTCATATTCTGACAGTCCACGCTGTAAAGTATGTTATCGTCAGCGGTGTGGAACACAAATAACATTAGATCCTGGTAGCAATATTGGGCAAGATCAGCTTCTCTGAGTGTCTATTTCCAGACCATGATTTCTTCTATACCAGCCAATGGCAGATGAGTTTTAAAAAAATTAAAAGCCACAAATGTAAGGTAACAAAAACATAATATATTTAAACATCATTTTAATTGTTATTTAATTGTTTTTATTTAAACATCATTTTAATTGTTAAAACATATGATCTGGCCAGGGCAACTTCTTCTTCCTTCTCTTTCTCCTCCTAT